AGGACACGTTGACGGAGGCGGTCAACCTCAGGGCCCTGTGTCGGACCCGCAGTCGGAGCACTCGGTCAAGATTAGCGTCCGGGAGGCGCCGAGTACTCGTACTCGTACGAGGACACCTCCGCCCCTGCTTGACCGGACTACAAAAGTCCACTACCACGTGGAGCGGATTCTCCGGGAGCAACGGCGTCGCGGTACGCGACAGCTCCTCGTGAAGTGGAGGGGTTATACCCACTCCGAAAACTCGTGGGAGCCGATTGAACGGCTCCTGATCGACTGCCCGAAGGCTGTCGCAATCTGGGAACGGAAGCGGCGGCAGCTTCATAAGTAGTCCGGGGCTTCTTGCCCGAACGAGGTACGGATGATGAATACATACCGTACCCGCGCTCATCGTGAGCGCTAGAAGCCGCGCGCTTCAGGATGTCCCTTGGCAGCACGCGCTTGCTGACCAAGTGGGCAAACCGGACACGAAGATCACGCTGGTCCAGGATGCGGGACAGCAGCTGATCTGGTTCCGAGGGTGAGTACTTGAGAGACTCCACCCAAGCCCAGAACATGTCCTCACATGCGTTCCAGCTGGGACAGTTCTCGGGAAAAGCCCAGGTGTAGCCTCAGAGAGGGTAGAGACCACCCCGGTTCTCGGGCTTCTGTTGTGAAGTCATGTAGAGGGATTCGGTGCAGCGTGAAAAGCACGCCCCGGGCCACCTCCAAGTTGCTGACAAACAACCGCTTCTTCTGGACCAAGGTACGTTCGTAAACGCCCTTAGAAGTGTGGCCACCAACAAGGCCACGAGGAGCGACAAGAATCTCCAGGGGAGGTCAGCTCCAGATCTCACCTCGGGATGCCAATACCCTCGCGAGTTGATGGCAGCTCCCTGGCTGACGGGTGCCACCACCGAACCCCCACACACACGCTGAGCGGCTTGGAAGTCTCCTGCTGCCGGTCGAGTTCATTCGTGATCTCCTGGGGGCTCAGGAATAGCACCCTCTTCCTCTTCCTCCTCCTCCTCTTCATCCGAAGACCCGAAGAGGTTCCGATTGGAGTACCCAGTCTCCTCACGGAGTAGAGACTTAGAAGCTGTACGCTTGTTAGAGGGCTTGGCACCTTCGGCTTTAGAGACCTTAGCACGCGCAAGACCCTCGGCAAACGAGAGGCGTTTGCGAGGTTTCTCTTCCTCATCGCTACCAGCTTTGGAAGTGCCCTTATCCTTGACGGCCGGGCTCTCAGAGCACACAGACGTCCTAGGACTGTGATCACCGTGATCACTAGCGAGCGATTGCACGCTGTCGTCTTTGTGCTCGCTGAACACCGGGCTGTGCCCTCCCGCGGAGTCTATAAGAGCATCGTGAGTGCTCCCGGACTCGGCCTCGTCCTCACTGGCCGAGTCGAGCTCACGTTCAACGAACCGAGGGTTCGGACGGTTGTCTGGGGAGGCCGAGGGTGATGGACTGCGGCGTATGCTCGCACGCCCGCATCACCAGTTGAGCCGATCTCTTCGGAGGCCACTTTAGTAGCCTCCTGGAGTGCCGAGCCTTTGCCGTGAGAATTAGTGCTCTTGGCTTGCGCCTTTCCGGCAGCAGCCCTGGAGCGTGTCTTCGCACCGCTCTTCGCAGTGCCACGAGTCATGACAAACAGTCGAAGTGGAGACCAAGAAGAGGAGCGCACAGACTGCTGCTCGAGGCTTTAACTGTGAAGTGAGCCTCAGCCGCGCTCGCGCGACCAAATCGATGTACTTCGACTTTGAGAATGAAAGTTTGTGACGCACACTTCTTCATTCTGATTGGTCGGTAAACCGAGCCTAAGTGGGGAAGGATGTAACGGGGTACGTAGCCCTAAGTGTACCCCTAGTTACATGAAGTGTGACACGTCATACTTCAGGATATTTGGTACAAGGTACCAAGGTCATCCGAGGCCAACCATTGGCTGATGACATTGCTTTTCTATAGGTGACTTATAGTTTAAATATTTTACTCAAACTTAGCCTACCTTTAAGTATACTCAGTTTACAACCTACCTTAAATTGGTCACTTCGCTCCTTTTAGGAAAAGGAGACCTGCGAATTGCCGTTCACTGAGAGTTTGTATACTCTCGGAAGCCAACTTCCTCTAACGCAAGGTGCTGTGTGACCCCGTCACACACCACTCTACTACTACCTTTGCCAATCCAAACTTGTGATAGTATAAACCAAAACGGAGTGTCCCTTATTTACACATGTGCCAGTCCAACTCGGCGACAGTGTAAATCAAAGTGGAACGTCCCGTATTTTTTTTTTTAATTTTGAAATTTATTTTTTTAGAAAAAGCCTGTCATGCAAAGTTGATTTAGTGTAGTGCGAAACTTTACGTGCCGTACTCCATAGGTTCGCTACGAATAGCTGCCGCCACTGACAACGCACAGTGACGCGCCATCTTGTTAACCAAGCGCAGATCCATACATGGCAAGCTATGCTCTGCAGCGTTTTCAAGCAGCTGCATCCGGCGCTCTGTTTTCTATCCGTGTGGAGCAAGAAACATTTCGTCATGACTTAAGGCAATATAAGCCTTAATGCGTGCTTTTAATACACTAAAACACCCTGCCGCACAGTAAAATAGACACAAATGTTAGTACATGTGCACGCTATTATTCTCTGTAAAACGTACCCTCAATCGGGTTACACATGGGGGAGTATGGCGCCAACCGCAACAGCTCCAAGTCCTCCTGCTCAGTAATCAGATCCTCAGTCTGGCTATGAGCAGGAGCGTTGTCTAAGACAATGACAACCGTCTTGCCAGCGAAGTGGTCGCGGTACACGTCGTGGCGCTTGACCGCCTCGTACACCTTAGTGCATGTCGCCCGCGCGCCGCCTCTCTTCTTGATGTCCGGGGTTCCTCGCTCGACGATAGTCCGAGCCGTTGTAGCTGGAATTCCGTTGCAATCGGCTACTAAGGCCCAGTCCTGCCCAGCCTTGTGCGCGTCAAGAACGCGTGTCCGGGCCGCAAGGCCATGCTTTGGTTCTGCTGGCATGATGCCAGAAGAAGAGGTTTTGATGCCGACCACCAGTTAGCTCTGCACTAAATCGCCATTGCTCTATAGTCAATTTTTGAAAATAAAAATTAAAAAAATATTTGTCACTTAAGTTACTTCACACCGCTTTGCTTTACACTGTCGCCGATTTGGACTGGCAAAGGTGTAGAAATTTATTTTCTTAAAAAATTAGAAATCTCCAAAATTAATCCAGACCAATACGGATTTAGTGTAAAGCAAAATGATGAAGCATATCTTGTTCGATGGTCGCCTCGATAAGAGTCTCTTGTCTTCTACAGTACTGCACATGGACCACGTACATTACATTAGTGCATTGGCTATAGCCACGAGCGCCCCGCACCGGACGCCGTAAGAAGTGTACGAACTCTTCTTAGCGCTGACCGTCCAGGCAGGCAGCCCCAACACGAGCGCTTATGGCACGTCAATCGCTAGTGTGCTGTTTTTAAGACACAAACTCAGAGCTGCAACCCATCTTCTTCCATTCCCCACGGCTGGTTAACATTTGCAAGCGCAGCCCAAAGCTCTCGTCCTTGATGTACTCTGTCTAATCGGGTTGCTGGCTGTCTTGGTCCCTCTATCGATGATTATGCAGGCTGTACAAGCTGAGAGGTCACTGTGTGTACCCACACTCTCGTGTTCTGGCGCCCATACGCAGGTTCACGCCCCCTTACATCTTTGTGTGTACCCCAGTCCGCAGCGCGCCCGTAGTTCGTATTGCTGGATGTGTCACTCGCGTTCTTGCCAGTTTGCACTACACTAAATCTACATTGCTCTTAAAACTAATTTTGTAAAATTATTTTTCAAATTTAGATGTTACTTCGGTTACTTTACTCCGTTTTGGTTTACACTACCATCAAGTTGGCAAAGGTGTAGTACAAAACTTTAAAACCAAGAATACACCGAGCAGTTTGCATTCCTTGTTTCGTATTTCGAACAAGTGTAATGAATAAATGTTTCAGCGCTTCATTGAGATCAGCTTCTCTTTCATGACATGACTTCGTAAGCTTCATTTAATACACGTGGTTGTCACACGCTTTCGGGTCCGCTTAAATACGAACAGAAATCCTCCCATAATTTTAAAAACCGAACTATGGTTACTTTGTACTGTGCCGTAGTTGGTGTGGCTGGGAGCGCGTTCCCTGTGGACATTGACGAGAGCAAGTCGGTGGGGCACTTGAAGGACGCGATCAAGGAAAAGAGCGCATCGACGATCACATGCGATGCTATTGGCCAGCATGGCGATCAGACGCCGAGTCGCCGAAGGCGGCGAAGAGTCGGTAGAGGCCAGACAGATGCTGGTCAGAATTAAGTGTGTCAACACAATAAAAGACTTACTTTCATTAAAGCAATAGTAAGTACTAGAGTAAAACAGATCCTATGAGCACTTGGATAGAGTGCACCAGCAGGCAGAGGCTGTCTGCCAACCAGTGCGATGAGGACTTGAAGGCAGAAGGGAGAGATGCCGTCCGAGGACGCAGTCCGAGGACGAGCTCACTTCTTCTTCTGCCTCAGACTGAGCACAAGTCTAGAGAATAGGTAGTTAAGAGTAAAAGTAAATAAACTGTTTTGAGAGCTACTCTACAGCGTTCATTCTAACATTTCAAGTAAGATAAACAAGACTTCTGAGACCAACATGAGCAGGCTGCAGTTCCACGGGACCAAGGCGCATTTCGCTGGCTGGAAGGACAAGTTCGTGGATCATCTGGCTGCTAAGAGCGACGCCATCACGATTCTCGAGCTTCAGCAAAAACGGGCGAAGCCGATGACGCGCTATGAGAATTTGCTTAAATCCCAGCCGTCAATCCCGCCTCTCGAAGGAGAGCGTACGGCGGACCGCGTGCAGGCGCACGAGCTGCAAGAGGCGCTGCTCAGGGGACAGAAATCCTACATCAAGGATCTTCTGAACCAGACGCTGCCAAGAAACTTCGCTGACGAACGGCTCATGCGTATGCCGGTCTATGTGATCTGGAAAGCGGTTGAGAACGTTATGGTCTCAACACTGCGTCCGGCGTGGTAGACGCTGGTGTAGAATTTCGAGAGAGTGGCCAACTCGGACTTCAAGAATATTTCGCATCTGTTCCAGCAGCTCAAGGCTGCTCGCGAGCAAGCGAACAGGAACAGCATCGAGGCACTGGGTGAAAAGATCATATCGTCCCATCTCATACTCATCAAAGTCCTGGTTATTCTGCCTGGTCATCTGTGGGGCTCCGGAATTGAATTCCAATTAGGAGACTTCACGGTTGAGAAGGTGGAGCAAAAACTGGTCGCCATCTTCGGTACCAAGAGCAAGGCGCAAATTATGGCGCTGGGCAAGGGCATTGCGGTGAACCACGTGCAAGCCGGGACAGCCAAATCTAAGGCAAGTGCACTGGGCAAGCGAAAGGCCGCACCCAAGCCTATCAACGATCTGCACTACAACGTGGGGCATAAATCGTGCCACGTCTGTGCTGGGGAGTTCAACGACATGAATGATGTCGGTCCTCATCTGATTGCTGCCTGCCCCAAAATGAAGTACGACTTAAGCCTGGGCGTCAAGCGTAGGAACATCTGGAGCCGCGGCAAACAAGTGGGCACTTGCTGGTCGAAGCCGCAAGGAAAGGGCAAGTCGGTTGCCAAGATCAAGAAGCCAGCCCGCAAGCAGTTCCCGGGTTGAGGACTGTCTACCGAAACCGGTGAATGCGTGCGAGACGGTGCAGCCAGCCGCTCCACAAACTCCACCGCCTGTCAGCCCGCCAACGTCAATGCTGACACCCGGCTACGAAGATATGCACGGCATCGAGCCAATGGACACGGACGAGTCCATGTCGTTCTTCGACACGCCTGTCAACGCGGGACAAGTCACGGAAGCGCCAGCCGGTGATGGGCAGATCGCCGACATGGCGGCAGGTGTCAACAAGATGGCAGTTGACTTGGAACAAGCGGTAAGATCCATGTATCCTTTTCTGCTTGACAGTGAAACATTTCTGACCAATGACGCTTGGGTACTCGATTCAGGATGCGGGTTCGGGTTAACCAGTGAGGAGTCCCGGTTCGTGGAGAAGAGGCCCGACAACGGCTACATGTTTACATTTGCAGAAGGGTCTAAGCATACAAATACACACATTGGTACTGTGAAACTTTATTTGCATGGTCCGGGAGGTATCCGACCGTTTCAGTTTACAAACATTGCGCTTGTACCGCATGCTATTCTAAGCGAATACTGGCTACAAAGGGGAGGGTATCAGATTATAGGGTCAGCCAATGGCGACTTTAAATTTGTCCTCTATAAGAACCAATTGGTTTTTGTGGCCAAGGCAATTAACGGGGCGTATTATATACAATCCAAAACAGTAAAAGAACGACAAGCGTTCTGCCATGCGGTGAAAACGCAACCATGCAAGCCATTGGCACTGCCAGGAGTGGGCAAAGTAGAGGCTGCACTAAAGGAATGGCACGCAAAGTTGGGGCACTTGAACAAAGAGCAGGTGATCACAATGTTGACCAAACCAGTGGTAGCCGGTATGCCCACACTAAAGGCATCTGATCTAAGGCAAGTGCCATTCTTCTGTACAACATGTACGGAAATGAAGAAGAAACGGATGTCGTATCGCAATACAAAGGGCTCAAGAGATGCAAAGCCGATCAGCACGATACACATGGACACAAATGGTCCGATGAAGACAATGGAAGTCTTTGGAACCGTGGGCACTATCAAGTTGGCTTGCGCCTTTCCGGCAGCAGCCCTGGAGCGTGTCTTCGCACCGCTCTTCGCAGTGCCACGAGTCATGACAAACAGTCGAAGTGGAGACCAAGAAGAGGAGCGCACAGACTGCTGCTCGAGGCTTTAACTGTGAAGTGAGCCTCAGCCGCGCTCGCGCTGCCAAGTCGATGTTTTTCGACTTTGAGAATGAATAAAATTTTGTGACGTACACTTCTTCATTCTGATTGGTCGGTAAACCGAGCCTAAGTGGTAACGGGGTACGTAGCCCTAAGTGTACCCCTAGTTACATGAAGTGTGACACGTCATACTTCGGGATGTTTGGTACAAAGTACCAAGGTTGTCCGAGGCCAACCATTGGCGGATGACATTGCTTTTCTATTGGTGACTAATAGTTTGTATATTTAACTCAAGCTTAGCCTACCTATAAATATACTCAGCTTACACCCTCCCTTTAATTAGTCACCTCGCTCCCTTTAAGTAAAAAGAGACCTGTGAACTGCCGCTCACTGAGAGTTTGCATACTCTCGGAAGCCAACTTCCTCTACTGTGTGACCCCGTCACAATCATCGTACAATTTTAGCAAGGTATTCTGTCTTCATCTTTGGTGGATGGGTGCATAATATTATTTGTGAAAAGGAAGCTGCTTTTAAAAAGTGCTATTAAAATGAGTACTCATACGATTCGAAACTGTTATGACCGGGTAATGAAATCGCTGGATTATCTCGGGACTCTGGATACAATCCTTTGAACGTGTGCAAAAATATCCCTTTCTGTGACATCACCTTCTTTTCCCGCTTAGGTACGGGTGCAACATTTTAGCACCTTTTCTCTTATTCCGGCTCGAGAAATATGGTTACTTTGTTCTGTGCCGTCGTTGGTGTGGCTGGGAGCACGTTCCCTGTGGACATTAACGAGAACAAGTCGGTGGGGCACTTGAAGGAAGCGATCAAGGCGAAGAAGATGTTCCAGTTTCCTGCCGATGAGCTGCAGCTCTTCCTGGCAAAGGCGGGGGGCAACGCATGGCTGTCGAGCCTCACTGAAGATGTGAAGAAGCTGAAGAAGGGCGAGAAGACTGCTCTCGTCAAATCTCTAACGCAAGAAGAAAAGGAGCTGCAGGGAGAGGATCCGCTTTCTGAGTGTCTGGAAGGCATGGATCCCCCGAAAGTGAAACAGATTCACGTGCTGGTGGCGTTGCCTCCTGGGACAAGTAGTGCGCCTATTTCTGATGGGACGGACTTATGGCTGTCGAGATTTCAACATAGTGAAGTTGCAAAACTTACGCTACTGCCGACACGCGGAGATCTAAATGAATTTATCGGACAACCTCTCCCTGTAAAGATTGGGTTACCGCAGTCTGTATTTCAGGCTTGGTCGAGTCCATTGATACTAGGCCAACTCCTTCGAGATAAATTGTTCGAGCTAAACGACATTTCGCCGTGCGAATTTTTGAAAGATTCGGTGTTTAGCGCTGCGTTCCTGTACCCGCAGGTGGATGGGGATGCCACAGAGAGTGCATTTCATTATTTCTGGGATTCAATTATCCGTGTGGTGCTCGGGTTTGTGTTTAGGCGTGCTTACGTCAACCGGGATTCGAGCAGGAAATCCTTGTCAGGTTTGAAGCGACCCGACTTTTTGTTTGCTTTGGATCATATCTGTGTTTTTCGTGGTGAGGAGAAAGAACCTCGTACTTCTATCACTGTGCCTCGTGAGGAGCTCTCTAAAAAACTGGTGTGGTCCTACGGTGGAGTGCCGTATGTGTTTGGCTATGCTGCGTCGGGCTTCGAGCTAGAATTATTTGCTATCTATCAAGACGTCACGGGCAACGTTAAAACCCACCTTATTGGAGGGTTTAACTTGCAGCATGCGCCGGAACGTTTTCGACTTGTACTGGCACTTCTGAATTTGTGTCTGCTTTTCCCGGCAATTGCGCAAAACTGTCCGGCCTCGGCAGGGACCGAGTTCATGGACATCCATCGCGCCAATGGCGTTAAGGTGCGGTTGAGTCCGATTTTCGTCGATAAGATCTTTCACACACAAGAAGAGTATCGTCGCGTGAAGCGGATCTACGATTCTTTGAAAGCTTATAGGATTCCTTGTGCCGATGCAGTTGTCACGGTGGATTCAGACCAATTGAGGTTGACACTTAAGCCCCGCGGCGTTGAGATGAAGCCATGCAGCTTGAGTGAACTGTTCGTCGCGCTCGGGAACGTTCTCGAGGCCCTTGTAGTCCTCCATCGCAACGGGTGGATGCACAGAGACATCCGTTGGTCTAACGTGATCAAGCATATCGACCGCGTTGAATGGTTTTTGATCGACTTCGCTGATGCAGCTCAAAGTCCGCAGAAATATCCCAGCGGCGATCACTTGACGCACGACGAACACGCTTCAGATATTTTTATGGAAGGTGGATCCCACACGACTGCGGTTGACTTATGGGCCGTGGGATACCTGGTGAAGACAAGTAAGATTGAACGGGAATGGACTGCGGAGCCCGAAAGAGCGCTTTTCCTGGATCGGTTGATGAACACAGACCCGAGTGCTCGGCCGACGGCAGACGAAGCCTTACAGCTTCTGTCACGTTTTGAACGTGAAGCTGCTGAGCAGGAATCACAGGGCAAGGGTGTGCGCAAGAAGCAAAGACGTGCGTAAATTTTTGCATCGCTATGGCACTACCATTACGCGCTGGGACAAAGTACTATGGTACTAACAACAGGAGTAGTCGATGAATGAGCAACACACGTTTACTTCGAATGTATGAGAAATCTCGGTTGACGAGAGAAACTCGTTGACACACGCAGCAGCTGTCATGCAGTGCGAATGTGGCCACTCGTTGTCGGATACGCCCGCCTTCACGGCGGCCACCACGATAGGTTAAGTACACCATCGCAGCCTTCTCTATTAATCCCTGAACGCTGAAAATCGTCCCGGTCTGCATCGTCGCCGGCATGTTTGCGCTGAGGGGACGGTGCCAAAGTTGTCAATATCACTCATCGTAATTGTGCCGTAGACGGTGAGTTGAGTGGTAGAATGAAAAGCCGGTATTTTGCATCTAAATAAGCTCGGAGCAGCGGGAACATCGTGGCACTTGCGCAAACGCCCGAGCTTATGCGTCCACGGACCAGAACGCCGACCACACTCAGCGCTGTCAAACAACGCGCCGTCCACGTCCAGCTCGACCAACGCCAGCAGTGCTTTCCTCATCCACCCACTGCCGCCTCCCCGCAGTTACCGTTGCTGCTGTATCCGCCACCCGCACGCCGCCCTTCCACTGTCGCGGACGTCGCCACCCTTGCTCACCACCTCATTCACTCTGCTCCCTCACGCCTCTTCCACTCTAGCTCGCCACCGTCGCCACCATTGCCGCCACTCCACTCGCTCGCCGTCTCCCCCTTTTTTTAAACTTAAAGTAAAAGTGCAAATTTAAAAATAAAAGCATAAATTTTAACAAGTACATGCAGTATTTTTGTTTAAACCACGTTTTATGTTACGGTCGGAGGTTGTAGAAGTTCTTCCTCATTATCTGTACAGTGCGATAATCGAAACCAGCTTTGTGCTACTTTCATCGCCAGCGGGATCGGGGAAAACATCACTCTTGGCGATGTTCGCTCGTCAATATCCTGACTTTCGCTATGTACCTATCGCATTCGATAGTGCCGTAGAAGATGCCACTACCATTCTCCTTAACCATGGGGTTGATGTTCGTTGTAAAACGTGCTCAGTACCCGAAGACAAGCTGTGCGTCGTTAAAATGGATGACTGTCAACGACAGTATAAAGATTTGGATTTTTGGGCTCGACTTATTAAGGGCTCAGCAAGCTGGTTGCCGACCCATGTTCGGTTCATCATATCCGCGACGCATTTGCTCGAGATAGATGCTCCTTCTAGCCGTGTTGCCTTTAACAGCATTTCATGGAAGCTGACAAGAGATGACTTCTTGATCAGTGGTGCGGAGGCGCATGAATTCTTAATCTTGGACAACGGATTGCCGGCAAGTTTGCGACAGGCCACATTTTTGGAGGTGATCGATCATACGAGATTGCAACGGGCATATTGGTTCATTGCGCGTTTCAATTTACACGCATTTTAAAGTGGCACGCATTTTAAAGTGGCACGTCCAACCGAGCATGATTGGCTGGCATACTACATGTCAGGGGCCTTTGTGGATCAAATGGCTCGTTGCTTCGGAAGTGATCACAGAACACCAACCCATCCCGATCATCAAAGATTTCTTACCATGTGTTTGGTCGACGACCCCGCCTATCAGCCATTGGTGCACCATTTGAGTGACGATGAAATGCAATGCTTTACAAGGTTAAAGAAGGCCGGTATTGTATTTGAAGATGGCGCTTATGTGAACTTTACGTCCCCCTTGGCTGAGAGATACTACTACAAGTGGCTGTTTCCTGGTCGTGGATATGTAAATCCTACATCATTGTATGAGCTGGTCCGGAAGGCGATTGGAAGTATGTCTGCTTCTGTTCTGAAACAATCCGTTGTCCGCGAATATGACTTTCCCAAAGAAGCTGTTTTCCAGCATCAGTTTATGGCTGCTCTTGCGCTTCACACGATGAACACGTGTTACATTTGCCCGGAACTGTCGAGAGTGTTTCCTGCTTCACCCCGTCAGCACAGCCAGCGCATCGATGGAGAAATTGATTTCTATTTGAATGGAAGTCTTCGGTGGGGGATCGAATTACTTGTGAATGGCGACAGGATTGGCGAGCCTATGTCCCGATTCGCGACGGGTGGGAAATATGCTGCGCTTGCAGCTAAAGAATATGTTGTCATCGATTTCCGAGGCAACGTGAATGGGACAATTACGAATGTTGTCCGCAAACAAGAGAGGGTCACAGTTTTTTTTAAGCTGGGAGACTTCACGTCATGTCGCTGCATTTTTGGATTGGTCGAGAGCTCGGAACTGATCAGTTTGAACCGCCAAGTGCCTAAAATGAATACTTCCCTTCCTCAAACTATTAATAATACCTCCGCTCGCAAAATCAATCACCTTACCAATACGATAACAGACTGCTTAAACTCCATACCCTAGTAAAAGCGTTTGAGCAGTGACCATGAAGCTAAACTGATTATCGTGGTACCCCGTCTAAGGCGATATATTTCCAGCAAACTGTTGGATGTTTACACCGTTCACTCTAATTAGTCGTGCTTCGAAATTAGTCGTGCATTCGCGCTTTAGTGACGTCACAAATGTGGGATATTTTTGAACACTTTTCAATTCTAAAAAAAAAATTGGTTTTTGGAAAGATCTCTGCGATTACTTTATTCTAGAATGCTAGGTTAAAAATATGAACGAGTTGTTTTTAAGAGCATCTCCAGCGGTTAGACTTATTTGCAAGTCCTATTGAGACGGATGAGACCTCAATTTTTAGGATAGAACGCCTGATTGCATCTTGTCTACAGCGGTTTGGAACTCACCGCGGCTTAACATTTTTTTGTCCAATCAAACGACGATACAAAAGATCTCTCTAGATACCGCACTATCAGAAATACACGAAGGAGTGAAGCGCTGCTGGCGACGTCAAGTATGGACGACGACTCGGAAGAAGAGTACTATTTCACCTACATGTTGCCTGAGGGCGAAGTGAACAACACGAGCGCAGTGCGGGGCAGACACGGCGGGTCCACCAAAGGCATGAGAGCAAATAAAGAGCGGGATCGAGAAATGTGGGGTGAACGCCTAATGAGTGACTACTTTGGCGACAACCATTTGAGTAAACGACATGTTCTCCTTTAAAACTGTCCATTAATGTTCATGGCTACTCGTTCTGATGCAGATGACTTCCGCAGGCGATTTCGTATGCGTCGTAACCTCTTTGAGCTCATTACAATTGCCCTGGTTGAGGATGAAGAGTGCAGCTACTTCGTCCAGCGTAGTGATGCAACTGGACGGGCTGGTTTCCTACCAGAGCAGAAGGTGACGTGTGCTTTACGGATGTTGGCATATGGAGCATCAGCAGACCAATTAGATGAGTTGATTCGTATGGCTGAGTCCACAGTGTTGGAGACCTTAAAGCTGTTCTGCAGAAATATTTTCCGGTTATTTGGTCCAGAGTATCTTCGAAAGCCGACCAAGGATGACTTGGAAATACTTCTTGCCGAGAATGCTGAACGCGGATTTCCGAGTATGATTGGTAGCTTGGACTGTATGCACTGGACATGGAAGAATTGTCCAACGGCATGGCAAGGAGCTTTTCAGGGAAAAGAGAAGTGTTCGACGGTGATCTTGGAAGCCGTGGCTTCTAAGTCGTTATGGATTTGGCATGCATTCTTTGGCATGCCTGGCGCCAACAATGATTATAATGTACTCAAGCGTTCACCTTTGTTGAATGACCTGGTAAATGGTGTTGCTCCCAGGATTTACTTAACTGTGAATGGTGCGACGTACAGTCAGGGATACTATTTTACAGATGGAATTTATCCTGCCTGGGCAATTTTCCAATCCAGTATCAGTGCGCCCCAAGGCAACAAGCGTAAGTGCTACGTTGCCCAGCAGGAAGCCGCTCGCAAAGACGTTGATCGCACATTTGGAGTATTACAACAACGCTTTCGAATTCTTGCCCTGCCCTGTAAACTATGGAGTGTCGATGCAATGAATGATGTGATGCTAGCATGCATCATCCTTCATAAGATGATTGTGGAAGACGAGCAGCGAATTACCTCGCTAAATCATCAGTACCTGTTTGAAGATGAATAGGTCAGCCCGGCAGAAGTTGGTGTACCGGATGAGTGCCCAGTCGCAATGATAGCAAACGCGATGCAAGTGCTTGAAGACGAAGAACTTCACTATGAATTAAAAACGGATTTGATCGAACACGTATGGCAGTGCTACGGTGATCTCGGCTAGCAAAACTTCTCTCTGGATCCTGTGTAGTAGGTTTTTAAGCTAGACTACGTGCAGAAGCCCAGCTAAATTAAAGTACTGATTTGATTGTCAGCAACTTCACTTTCTTCACCCTCGCCGTTATGTAGTCCTGCCACGTGCGGTGCCATGAACGAACGCTCAGGTGTTTCCAGCTCTTCGCTTTGTTGTAACTGCTGGCGCTCTTGTGAATCAGCAAGTGTCTTCCTCATGTTGGCGAGGATGGTTTTTCGCTGCATAGTAAAATATTCCTGTGATTCGTAGCTAGCGGGATTCTGCAAGAAGATAGATAGATGGAGACTTTGCTCCATCACAGCGACCTTCTTTTCTGTGGCAACAACGAGCCTGAGGTGAGCTTCACCCCCAATCGTTTGAGCTCCAGCACTTCCATGACTCTCATTAGTTTTGGCGTTAGCCGCCTTTGCTGCTTTGCGGCCTTCTGGTCTCTCCAAAGACGCAACGTCACTTGTTCATCGCTTGACTCCAATAGATGAGGCCGAAGTGATCTTGTTGGTCCACTTGGACTTGTCCTTGAGCTCCTTCCACGCCGCAAGAAACTCGAACGGCTGTTTGTGTCGCTCTTAGTAAACCTTCAACGCGGCGTCCAGATACATAGCGTCATTCCATCCTGATCGCTCTCTGCTGGCGACCTTCGCATATAAACCGCAGAACATCGTTACTTCTGGCTGCAGTTTCTTCCATCGACCCATTATCGCGACCTCCGTTCGTGGATCCTTGTCTTCTGGTCTCTTGTTTTCCAGCCAGTGGCTGTACAAGCGACTGCTGAACGTGCTCTTCTTCTGTCCTGCACCACGCACTGCGTCCTCCGATACCTTCAGCCACGACAGGCAAAGCTGTATGGTCTCGCTCTCACTCCACGCTAAGCCCTTCCCCATCGTACTGCAAGTTTCCGTGTCGGTGCTGAGATCGAAGGTTTCCTTTCGTTAGACTGAGGTTTTATATAAAGTCCTTGGACTAGAAATATAAGATTTCCTGAAGCTAAAACTAATAATACCACCAACGGGTGGGGCAAAAAAACTTGTCGAGAGATTTATTTGCGCAACTTTTGGGATAAAACTATCGTTAGAGCCTACCGCAGGAGATGCTCTAACAACTTAATTTCAAAAAAAAAATGTGCTCCAACCTCAACACCATTATTAGTCATGGCATGACCAATTAGAGTAAACGATTCACTTCGCAAGACCAGCAGGGATATAAGGATCGACGCTGCTGGCGTTCGTGCGGTGGTGAACAGAGGTCCCCTACAGCTAAGGGTGGAATGCGTGAGGACAGATGAGTCAGCAAGGGCATCGCTTTCTCCATTAATGATCCTTATCGTGTGTCCGTCGTGACAGACGTTGGTGTGCGCTGGACTGTCTGCTGAAGGCAATGTTAGCTGCTAGACACCTTGCAACGGCCCCCCATTACTGCATGCGATAGTGAAGGTATGGACACTTAACATGTCCTATTTGCTGATGCCGGTCAAGGCCTGTGTATCGAGCCGATGAATGCGACGAAGTAGTGAAGGTATGGACACTTAACATGTCCAATTTGCTGATGCCGGTCAAGGCCTGTGTATCGAGCCGATGAATCCGACGCTTGTCGCTCAACGACATCCGCTGTCGTGAATCAAGCGCATGCTCAAGGCAAACATCTCTGCAGTGGCTCACGGATTCAGTAGTTTTTACGTGCTGAAATGGCGAGCAATAACGCCTGCCGCTACACTGATGTGGTGGAACAAGCACACCCGCAGTTGAGCAATTTGACCATAAAAGCCCGGGTCTATTATCGTTTCAAAGGTCAAAGCTCCTGGAACGCAGTGTCTTGCTTGGCACAGCTAAGTTGACAGCACAGTACCCACTGGGCTGTTTTACAGAAGGATCGGTAGCCCTCCGCAAACTTTATGATCATGAAAAAGAACGAGGTGGAGCGCTGTGATTTTTTTTGGAAAGGTGATTAATTTTCCGAGCGGAGGTAGTAGCCCCCGACATTCTTGAAGCTAATCACATTTATAAACTACGACGTTGTATTAAGTTTCTGCCTCCTAAGAGCCGCTTAATTGCAATGTGTATCGCTCCATCGACGTCCTTGGATTATCCTGTGGCAAGAAGTTTCATCGTCGGAACGACGGTGCCGACATACATACATGTCTTCATCCTACCAGAAACTTCATCTTAAAACAAACTCCCTGTCTGAAGCACGATGACCAATTTCTCCCCAGCCCCTGGCTCGATAATCCATTTCTTCACCCACGTCTTGCAATCGACCGTGACGATACCAGTACCATGAAACTTCCAAGCACCAACTTGTTTTTGCTTGAACTGGGTAAATTCATAGCAAAAGACGAGCGCAAGATCCCAATTATGTCACTTTGGCTTTCGCTGACCATCTCCCCCTGCACGCCCTGTATACTCAGCATTTAAACCCTCAATGATCTTCTCCATCGCACCGCTGTCTAGTTTTTTCTTCCAATGTTTGCTTCGCAAACGAACAGTGGATTGTTACTCCCAGGAACCATCACGTAACAATCCAATCTCTCGCTGTCCTTAGCGCGAGCAAGATGGCCGAAGTTGCAGTCACCATCACCAGCACCGCAGGCGCCAAGAATATAATCCGGACATCTCGCATTAGGTGGTGCCACAAACGGGATCATGGTTTCTGCGAACTTCTTCTTCAAACCAGCATATCTTTCCAACAACGCACTGGCCTTAAATTTTGTTGGATAGGGTTCGTCCTGAAATTCATCAACCAAAGCAAAGAAGAACTCGTTAAAGGCGATTCCTCGAACACCATTTTTTCGCGACGCACAGAAAAGCGCATGAGCCACTAAGTTCTCGAATTCGCAGTAATTGTTTTTGAGAGCATTTGTATTTCCGTGTGGTTCATTGCCAATTCGTCTGCGAAACTCATCAAAAACACTAGCTGTTGAATACTTCGTCCCGGTGTTGTAGTCGTAGTACGCCGAAAACTCCTTTCCACCGAGCACGGCGAGGTACAGCAACACGTCTTCCTCAATGACTGGAAAACGACAGATTGGCATCCAGGGGGTTTCATCCACCTTTTTTAATCTGCCCCCTGAAACAACCACATCAGTAATTTCTTCATCAACCAAGTTCGCAAAATGCACATGCATGCTCTGAACCCCCACTTTACTATTTTTCAAAGGCGGTTCACTCCTGTCATCATCACCACTGGTAGCATAAATCGTGTAATCAGGAAGTTCGACGCTGGCATTGGTGTACGATAGCGCCATCAGCTGCGCATGTCTCCCTGACTCAGTGTTCATGAAGCCTTTACCATCCTGAGCCTTGACACATACCGCCTTGAACGCTGCGTCTAGCATGTCCGCCAAAGCAAATATTTAATTTTCGCAACTTCCTCCAGAGCAAATTGTACCACAGCGTCCACAAAATACCGCGAGATCAGACCACGAGAATTATCAGCAATGTCCTTCACGACGGGATGCAACTTTATCACCTTCTGCCACGATTCTTCCTTCGCAGGATCGCTGAAGGGAATAGACTGGTAAGTTGGAAACTAGAGACAACGGTCATCCACCAATGAGAGCCTGTGCGACTGTGCTGTGACTGACTAACCAGGTTCGAAATCTTGGCGTCCGTGCCCATTACAATCACGACCAGACCGCAAGCACGAAAGACATTGCGTTAAAACGCCGCTAATTTCATCATGTTCGGAATTTCCCCGCTTGGCGTCATTACATCCAAAATGAAGAACGGTAACACTTTCCGATTGTTTATTTTAGTGCGCGCATCAATGACATCTTTCAGACCACACTTGGCCACTTCAAACGTTTCGTTTTCAACGCGGATCATCTGTGCGCCAACATCTGCACGGGAATAATACCTCAACAGTTTGATAATGAAGCCATACGTCCACAGTTCCTGCGTGGTGTAAAACGACGAAGCGCAGTTCAAATTCTCTGCTTTTGGTAGCTTCTCCAGCCCGTCCTTCTTCACAACAGATTCGAAGGCAGTCGCGATGGATGAAAAGTTCCAATACACGCGTTGCATTTCTTCCCCCGCAGAAAGAAGAGGCCAATAAAACCACGGCCGTGGATGTTTGCGTCCTTCACCTCCCAATGAAAACGCCAGTTGCGACTTCCCCATTCCAGATGACCCTTCCACGCAGATGAAAGGCTTCGGATGAGACCCTTCCTCGTAAATGGTGTCAATTTTGTCGAGAATTGCACCACAGCAACTGTGGCACTTGATTTGGATCTCTTGACCAAAGCGTTGGTAGTACGCCAGCTCGGCCATGAGCACTTCATCTTTTCTCTCCCTCACCTCAACGGTAGTTGTAATTCCTGGAACCACCACCAGCACGTTCACATGGCCCCTCCCTTCTACTTCCTCGTCTTCATCCACTCCACCGACATCCACATCCGACAACTGCACACGCCGAAGCCACGCTCGCGCCGCTTCCAGCAGCTTCAGACCAGTTGTATCAATCACATCCTTTTTCACTTCTTCTTCAGTCAGCCACGGACCGCGACCCTCATCCTTCTTCGCCAGGAAGAGCTGCAGGTTTTTGGCGTCTGTTAGAATGAACGCTGTAGAGTAGCTCTCAAAACAGTTTATTTACTTTTACTCTTAACTACCTATTCTCTAGACTTGTGGTTAGTCTGAGGCAGAAGAAGAAGTGAGCTCGTCCTCGGACTGCGTCCTCGGACGGCATCTCTCTCTTCTGCCTTCAAGTCCTCATCGCACTGGTTGGCAGACAGCCTCTTGCTGGTGCACTCTATCCAAGTGCTCATAGGATCTGTTTTACTCTAGTACTTACTATTGCTTTAATGAAAGTAAGTCTTTTATTGTGTTGACACACTTAGTTCTGTCCAGCATCTGTCTGGCCTCTACCGACTCTTCGCCGCCTTCGGCGACTCGGCGTCTGATCGCCATGCTGGCCAATACTCCCACTAAGTACTAGGGGTAAGCTCTAGATCCATCACTCCTAGCTTATGCCTCAGC